AATTGGTTATTGATAAATTTAAACAACACATAAGTAGGGCCAAGAGCCTACAAATCCCCCATGCAATACAGGCAACGAAAACAAGCTCTGTGAGATGTTTAAAAAAGTTGCAGAGACTCAATTGGATGTCAAAATAATCGTAGGCGATTTTAATCCGCCAGACATTGACTGGCATACAAATACCTGTCCACAAAAACTTCAGAAATGGGTAGATACTATTTACTTTTCAAACATGTCACAAGTAGTCAGTTCAGTAACTACAAATGGCAGCTTATTAGATTAAATTTTTTTCGCAAATGACGTCCACCCTCTTTTTATGAATTTCCATCGTGATCTTTTCAAAAGTGACCACGCAATTATTTACTGTTGTTATATTCTGCCTTGTTTAACTTGGTCACAGATTTGGACCTGCAGATGTTGCTCGGTTGATTTGATCATCGCAATCTTTTTCACTAAAAACGTTTTCGAAAATCTCGAGTTATCGAATCCACTGCAAAACATTATTTTTTTTTCACACACAACCAATGCACAGAAGCATGTTTGTTCTACTTATTTCGTGACGTTGGGATTTTGGAGAAAACAGACCGTCAGACTCTCAAACCTCAGAACTTGGCAGTATCTGTTCAGCTGTAAAGACCCAGCCTAGTCACAGGCGCGCACTTGCGGATAGACTGTGTAGAGCGAATTGAAACCTGTTTAATGTTTGATAGAATTGCCGCTGTCAATGAGAATATTTTCGCTAAGAGGGCAATAGTATTTATGCACATGGGCACAACATCAACCAGTGTAGTTATCGTATTTGAACAGGAGGTAGGCAGATGTATTACAAGCAACCTTCAATTTACCAATAGTATTTCTCAATTAAGATGAAAACAGTTTCATCAAAATGTGCTGTATACCAAAACAAGTCAAGTTAAAGCTGAAGTTGTTGCGTACACAGGGCAAATCAGCCCTCTGACTATGACACTGTTGATACACAGGTTAGTGCCATATTTTGTATACAGTGTATACAGTGACTGTATACAGTTCACTGGTCCCGGGTCAAAACTCGAGTGTGGCAGCAGTGTCTGCGGCTATACTGGAGTCAGGTGTCCGCGACTGACGAAGGGAAATTACCCAGAAATACGCGTATCTCGCGGTTCTAACGTTTGCCAGTAATAATACACAGTGACTATATGTTATGATTTTTAATAACAAATAAATACGAGCAAATGTATTTAATGTTGGTTGATAAGCAATGTTAAAAGAAATATACAGTAAATACCAATATATCTGTGAAAGACCCCCTGAAAAGGAAGTCTAGTAAATAATATATTTAAGCACTTGGGATATTGTTGCGATTTGTGTCCATGTGTACGGGTTTTTGATGTTCTCGGGTCGATGGTTCTCTGGAATTTAATTAGCTGTGCCTGAGTTCCGGTAAGGACTTTGGATTTTTCGTTCATTTGCTGTTTTAGCCTGTCTGGTGACCTCGGTTTTGGATGTATTCGACGAAGTGGTTATCTGCATTTTGATCCGCAGTGGGCATTGTTTTTTCCCGTCACCTTTTGATCTAGTGCTCCAGTGCCTAGGATATGCCCAACACCCTCGCAAATACTTGCAATAGAGCAATTTGTGAGTATAAACTAGAGCTTGTAGTTGCAGAACTGGCACATTTTTCTCTCTTGTCAGGTTGTTGCCCCTCCTTTGATTTTGTTTTACTGTTCTATCCTTATGAATAACCGAGGTCGCGCGAGTTTAAAGGTGACCTTTAGTATACGGAAAATGGGCGTCACGAGTGTTGGACTTATTATATGCGTTCTCTTCGCATCCTGCAATGCACTGACAAACTCAAAATTCTCAGCGGAGCTTAAAGAATTAGTGAGAACGGAATGTTCGTTGGACGCAGTTAGTTCTGTAAGCAAGTATTGTTTATTTTATATTTTCGTGTTTACATATGATAGTAAATAAATAGACAACATATTTTTAAAGGCAGAAGCTGACATATGACACCAGCGCCATTTGTTGCCTTACTTAAATATTATTTTGAATTAAGGAACTTTTCATAACACATCTTTTACTCCTGGTAAGTTAGAGGGTCTTGTATCTTCCAAGAGAGGAAAAATATACTCTTTTGAGAATAATAACCTTATAAACATTTCTCTGTGTTTCTAACGGCTGTAACAACTCTGGAGTTGTTTCGTATGAATTACTGAAGTGTTGACTAAATTATCATAGGATTCCCAATACAAGCGAACATACGAATCCCAGGAAGTAAATAAGAAGAAGACGAATCGATCGCTGGGACAATACTTTTATTCGCCTGACTTTTCAAGATCCTTCGCGGATTCTTCATCAGAGACATAATCAGATACAGTAACAGACCAGTTTCTGCCGAAACATCTGGAGTTGGGTGTGACTGGCTGATGACGGCTAACAAGCCAGAAATGGCCATTTCAGTCTGCATTGTCTTTGTTGGGAATACATTTCTGCCTTTATTACGTTAGCCAGTGAGCGGCTGCTAGCCAGGCTCGAGAGCGAGCCCCAAGGTAAAACGGGACGAGTGAGTTCCGTAAGCGATAAGTGAGCGCCTGTGTATCATAGTGTATATTCCCGAAGGAAACTAGCAAAGCCACGTGTCTGCGAGGCAGTGATTAGGGCATCAAGCTTCTAACTAACAAAATCGCGGGCTCAAAGACCAGAAGCCGTCACCTTTTGGCTTTGATTTGGCTGGCTGATAAAGGCTAATAATCCAGAAATAACCATTTCAGTTTCCATTGTCTTTGTCAATAATGCATTTCTGCCTACATTACTACATACATATATCGCTTGTTAGGAGCATCGGAATTCTAGATTTGCTCAAATTTATCCGAAAATACCCTCTTTATTGTTTTAAGCTGCACAGAAGCTTTAAAGAATGCATATTATATGTTTTATTATCAGATTCCATTAGGAACGACATCCTAACACAAATTTTATTCGGGGATTAGACGGACGTGCTACATATTTGTCATCCAATATTCACCTCTGAGTATATGTAATGAGATAAAAAATGTGGAAATCAAGGTAAGAACAAGAACTGCAAGGTCCTGTGGATATTTAAAAGTTGGCTTCAAGGAGCAGCTTACGCGTCCAGAATTTAACAGTCCACAACATTGCATTCACGGGAGCCGCACTTATAACAGTAGAGTTGCGTTTTTAAAGCATATGTCCGCTTATGTCCAACTTTGCTCAAATAGAGCACTGTTGAAGAAAAACTACGTCGGAAGAATAAGATATAATTTTTTAAAAGGAATAGAAATCCTATAGCATGCATATTTTTTGAATGCTCCCTAATGGCCCTCATGGATTTACAGTGCCCGCAAAAGAAATAGCTTACTCTTGCATAAGGTCTGTTATAATGCTCTAGTATTTTACAAGAAAAGTCATAGACAAATAACTGCATCAACTCTGTTGTATGAAGATCTGAATTCACTACGAATCTTTGATGGCCATAGCAGAATGTAAACATTATTCATTCATTAAAAAATGTTAATATTACCGGCAAAATAAAAGTTTATGAGTGTTTGCTTTTTTGTTGAAAATTTTTTTGGCGAAGGTAGTTTAAGCGGTTCCCTTCATATACCCTTAGGCCCAGCATTTCGTCCTACGAACCGGTGGTTATAAAAGTTTTGAGAATGGCAAATAGGATAGACAGTGAAGGAAATTTGCAGAAGTGTGAAGGGGCAAAATGTTGTTGAATTTTTTTCCCGCGGCCGCTGGGAATAATTTGTTTCGCATGTAAATTGAAGGTCTGAGCGGCGCTTCGCGCCGCGACCTATACTAACCTAACTCCAGGAGGATAAATTGAACCCCAGGTAAGTTGAAATAGACGACCTCCTAACCACCATTTCTATTTTCTCAGGAGTTTCGAGAATCCTGCATTTTGATAATCGGGTTTTTCCGCATAACGTTAAACGATAATACAGATTAGGAAAATCTATAGATATAAATCAACAACATTTATAAATACAATAAAATAAAAATGTATATAGCAGTCTTTAAAGTATATTCCACTGCATATCCTAATTCTTCACCATAAAACCTCTATAATCACCTTTTCCGTAGGACAAAATGTGGGGACTAGGTGGTGCACTACTTAAACTACTGTTGCCTATTTTTTAAATAAAATACACTGACTTGCATATTTTCCAAAATAAAGTATATCCTTTTTACTTACGGAGACTTTGATTTTGTTGTTAAAGATATTACCGGCTAAACTATCAACCGAATTACTAAGTTTCATTTTACATGTAGAACAGGCGCTCTTTATAAGATAAAATGTCCCTTTCATGTTCCTTCAGACAAATCTTCTCTCGTAGATATAAGTACTGTAATGGGACGAGCTTATGCCTCTGTATTTTGAGTTCACATAGGTATAATATACGGGCAGCTTGTTTGATTTTGAAAGTTAAGGGATTTTAACAGTATTTTGAATTATTTTCTGACTAGAAGTCAATAGGCTGTTTTTGACAGAACAAGTATATTTTTGTCGCAGGATCATATGCAGGTGGTTCAATGGTTACTGTCCCATTTTCAAAATTGACCGTTTGAGCATGAAAACGGATAATTGCAAAATGCTTGCGTTTAAAATGGAGAAATGTAGATTTGGATCTGACTTATGCCCCGTGCAACTCCCTTACATCATTTTTCGGTTTTGAGGACGAGTCGGTCTATATTTTAATGCAATCTTAATATTTTAAAAATAAAACGCTTTCTTGAATTCAGATAAGGCTTTAAGTGTTCCCAATTGTTTGCCAGAGTCTGCTTTTCAAGTGCTTGAAAACTGTCCGAAATTGCCAAAACACTCTCTTGTGCTGTTTTCTAGGAGTTAAGTCATAGGCGTACTGACTGTGGTAAAATTAAAATATCATGCCATAACTTTGAAGAGTCTAATATGTGTATTTATCAGATTCATATCACTCCGTGTCTTAAAAGCAAAGTCGCCAACCGTTCTTGGTTTATTTTGTAAGCAATTTCCTTTCTATAGTTGCTATTGTTTATTAGAATAGTCGATGCAACTGAATTTTACTTTTATTTTTCCTTCTCTGTCCAGGCCTACCAAAGGCTCATCAATGAGGGAACCGTAACGCTAGAACACCTAAAACCTCTACAGAATGTTAAGGAGTATGCTTCTAAGCTTTCTGAATTATTCTCGAAAAAAGCGGCCGCTCTTGAGGTAAGCCAAGTTATGAATGCTGCCACTAAACTTCTAAAAATGAGAACGTGTTACTCTATCTTCAAATTTTCAACCAATTCCGCCCACAGAATGTACAAGTCTTGCGAAGTAAAGTACCACGCGTACGAGACAAGCATAACCGAAAACGCTGTCGATCGGCCTTTGGCGACGTTCGATGGGATTTTCATTTTTGGAAAGAGAAAACTGTTGGGACCACCAATTTTTTATTTGGCGTTTTGAATTATGCAGTATTACAGTTGCTCAGATTAAGCAGAGGTTCTAAAGCCGGAGTCTGAACCAAATCTTCCGAGAGACGGCGAACTTCCCTCATGTCATCAAAAGGCAGCTTACTTGAGGTCGCTTATGGGGCGATTTCGGAGATTATTCTAAAGTGTCAGATGCACATGCAACAGCTGAAGAGTATTCGTGGTATCGCAATCTGGTAGATATCTGAAGCCAAAAGATACACTCATGCTGAATGCTTAAATGCGGTTGGCTTTTTTCGAATTTCGATGCAAGCCGATGTCTATGCCTGGGAAACATTTAATTGAGTTTGCAGCCCATCTGCTCCGGTGTCAAAAGAACCCACGGTACACGATGTCGTTGGTCACCGAGACCTGTTACTACACAGGTGGAAAGAAACAAGTTTATATCCTGAAAATCCTGTCAATCATACTTAATTTGTCCTGTATAATCTCATTGCTCATTTGTGCCTTTCGGTGAAGAGTGAATTGTGCTTCCTGTAGAGGAGTCACAATTAGAGCGTTGCGTACAACATAATCAAAGTCAGAAGCAAGAAGTTTTGTCTTTTTCTAACGCCCATATGCTCGTAAGTTATTGTAAAATGATTAAAACTGACGGATCCAAAAATATTGATTTACTGAACTTTAGAATCGACGGTTAGCACTCGCATTTCTCGCCGCATACATCAACCCTTGCTTTTCCTTTTTAAGTTTCGTCACAGCCTTTGCTGAAGTGAACTATGCACCAAATCGACCTCTCTAGCCGATTTAGAATAGCCCTGCGGCGACAGTTATTGAATGTATATCTCTGTTTGCAGTATTCTGATAGACCTCCTTTGTTAGCATACATTTTATTTGTCGCGTGCTCTGACAGTCTCAATAGCTCCTTCTGCTAACCAGCTTCCCAGGCCGTCTAGAAAATACAATGAGTAAAACATACACCGACTGAATGCTTGATTGCGTAACACTGTCTCGGAAACGTCTTATGACTACTGACACTTTAATAATATGGGATGGTAAAAGGTGTCCTTGCACAAATCCTTCTGCACTCAGCCAAAAGTGAGGTTTTCTTCTGCCAGTATAGCTCGAATTTACTTACTAGGGTAAATATAAACAGGCCTTTTTTTGCTGATTGCCTGATTAAACGTTAAAGTGTTGTTTTTCATCAAAGCTGGAGAGTATTTATCATTCTGAGGCCAAATTTTCGATTGGCAGATATTGCTTGATTCTACCTTACTTGATACTTTTAGAAGATTTGCTGTTCGAAACAAACCAAATCATGGGAACAAAATATCATTGTTTTCACTCTTAAACGAAAACATTGCTGTCGACAAGGCTTGGGTTTGATTTTTGAGCATATCGAGTGATGATTGTAGTTATTGTCTTGCAACCCGATTCGGAACCCTCACAAAAGTACAGTAGTCCAACTTCTAGTCGCTAAACATCCTTCACTAGAACTAGACTGGTATCTGTGCCCAAATTGCTTGGTATTTTTTGTAGAGTGTATCATTATGCTGAAGTTTCATCGGTTTCCTATAGGCTGCGTTGCCAACTTCTGTCCATGTATTACAAACGAAACGTTTCCGAAGCTAAAATGTGGAAATTTACTGATGTCCTACCGTGCAACGAACGCGCGACACAAATCGATGGAAGCCCAGCGGCTAACGTTCCCTATTGCCATGTACTGGCTCGCTGATTGGCCAAATCAACATTGTGACCTTGCGGTGCATGCATCCGTGTGCACTTCCGACTGCACATTTGCAGCGCTGATGCCCACCTTCCTAGCGTGCGCGGACGGACGGGCAGGCTTAAAATTGTACTAATTCTGTGTGACGGGTTGCTTTGCCCGATGGAGAGAGAGAGAGTTAAGGCTGGACCTCCCATGACCTGCCTCCGTTAAATATTTCTGGCAGTTTCATGACTAAGTGTCTTTTAGATGACTACTTAGATCTTACAATAGGAGGTTATTTTCTCACCTGAAAGCGTCTATCGTCAAGCTCGCTTTCGCGTTTCCCTTCTTTCCATTCAAAGTAATGACTACCTGCATTGAACTTGTTGTTTTAAGGAAACCTTAGCAAAAATGACCCCGTAGTGGATAGTTGGAAATATTCTCCGGCCTCCTGTACACTTACTCGAAAACGTTTTGCTAGCAGAATAAGTTCGTCACCAATGACCAAGCTACTATTCTCTACCGATGAGCGGACGTCGACGCTGTTTTCTTCCTACAAGCATGAGTGATATGAAAAACCATTCTCCTGTCACTGCCGAAACTCCCCCATAGAAATCACAAGGATTTCAGCTGTCTAACCTATGTCCCAAAGACCAAATATTCTAGTTACTGGGTTCTACTCCAAGGCCCGTCGACCACTGAGAGTCCCACCTGCGACGTATTTAAAGTGGTGCACCTGGCCTAAAGGATGTGGGTTGAGCCCCGCTTGCGTTATTATATCTGCCTTCTTAGCCAAGGTACAGACCGTGCTTGCAGTCCCGAATGGTCTTGAGGATGCGAGATTGGTTCTTCGAATCTTACGCTGAGTCGGCCGATACCTTGATAACTAGTAATTGGTGACTTGCCACTATACTTCTTGGAAAGATGGTAATTCATTTTAACTGAAGTTTCAAGTTAAGAATCGACTTAGAATACGATAGTCGCCAGTCGTACTGGCATTAATTAATCTGTGGCTTCTTGTGTAGACAGAGCACTAAAATCCGTTAGTTTTAATGGCCTTTCGGTTGACCCAGTGTACCCATTTGCGCCTCTAAATAGTCCTCGAAAAAACTTACATGAAGAACTGAGGAAGCGGATTGAGCAAGATTTTGATTGAGTCACCAAAGTAATTTCCCAAAACAGTTGTACCAAAGGTATTATAAATAGCAAAACGCGTTCGTGACTCAGATTTTATTGTTCGCATCGCTGTTCACCCCACTCCAGGAAGCACAATCGCACATGCCTTTCAAATCTGTGTTGGCAAGTGGGCCTTTCCTTTATTCCGAGGGCAATCATTTCAGCTCACTACGAATGCAAACGTATAAAAACAAGAAAGTTTTCTTGCCCCACCTGAAAAGGAAATGTCCCAGTGTCTGTCCCCATGTATTTGACTTCTGCAGAATATCCTTGACAAGCCCATTACTATCGAAGGGGGTGCTCGCAATGCTGCCTTGAAAAATCCAAGCCATATTTAGTACTAAAATCTATTCACGTTCATCAGTGCCTAAATGGGTGTCGTTACTAGCATTAAACTATTTCCACCTTCTTCTAGGAAGTTGTCCAGGATATGGAAGAGGAGGCCGCCAAGTACCCTTTGAATCCCCTTGTGAGTGCATTTTTCTCTAATATTCTCAGTGCATTGCAGAGTGTCAATGTTCCTTTTAAACTCGATGGCTATGTTAAGCCAGAGTAATAGAAATTAATGTTCCAACATATAACGCCTGCAAACTTCCTACGATGTCGTGTCAAACTCTTCGTGACAGTCCTTTGACTAGCCTAAGATAATGCGGCCGAGCCCTTTAAGGTTAACTTTCACTCTTCCGGTACGGGCACATTTTGAGGCTTTGTGCAAACTGAAGGCTTTGTCTTCACTTCTTATCCATTTTATCTGGCTTCTGAGCTTTTCCTTTGGTGAACGATGTTTGTTGCCTAATAGTGGATACGATATGGAAAAACTGAAAATTCACCTTCGTTTCTGGCTCTTGCCATCAATCAGATCCTGCAGTGTGTTCGAAAACGGAGAAACAGGAACAGTTTTTCTTTTTTACTTGCTGTATGTCATAAACACTTACCTGCAGTGTTGGAAAGTGTTAGGAAAGAATACAAAAGCCACGTTAACGGCTATTTCTGGTTTATTTTCCATCGGCAGGATGACCTAAAATTGGAACTCAGACTAACTTAATATGCACCAGCTTTAGGACCAAATTCTCTGCCACATGAATAATGGGTTAACATTCTGTCGACTGTAACGGACGTCAATTGGGATGGACATTCACCGATCCCTTCTGATTGTACGACAGCGTGTGAACACGTCCATGTGGCTGTGTGGCTTGAAAAGTTCGACTTTTGAAGCAGATACTTTATCACCAAGTGGGCTGAAGTAAGATAGCATAACATCCAGACCTGCCGCTGGTAACGAAGCATGAGTCGGAAATGTGAATTCAAGCTCCCCTCATATTTTAGGTAGCATTTGTCACCTATCCATTGCTCGTCAAATTATCATCCCCTGCGACAGTTTCAGAAGTATATCGAAGTCAAAAAGCTTCAGTCATAAAGGTATTTGCTGTAAGTAGGCAGATAGTATTGCCGGTAGGGCAAGGGAGACTGGAATGGCCATTTGTGGCTCATTAGCTGTCGTCAGCCAGTTCTATCCAGGCTCAAGTGGCGTCCCACCCGAGCCTCGAACTCGCGACCTTTTTGATCAGAGTCAAAGGCCCTAGCCCTTGGGCCACGAGTTCGTTGTCTCACCGGTTTAGGTCAGGGAATATTCGTACTCATTGATGAACGCTCACCTGACCGCTAACGGAGCTCACCTGTCTCGCCCTGCCTTGAGCCTCGACAGAGGTCCCGACAGCCGAGAGTCAACATCCTCTGACCTAAACCGGCAAGACAAGCTTGCGGCTCAATAGTTAGGGCGTTTGACTCTGCTAAAAAAGGTCACGAGTTCGAGGCTTGGGTGGACCTCCGCTTGGGTCTGGGTATGACTGACTGGCTGATGATGGCTTATAAGCGAGAAATGGCCATTCCACCCTCCCTTTTCTTTGCCGGCAATACTACCCGCCTATTTTCAGCTGTTATGGCTTCTGTCGAGACCCACGGCAGAGCGGGGCAGATGAGTTCCCTTAGTGGTCAGGTGAACATTCATCAATGGTTATTTTCCGTCTCTGGTTTTTCTTCATGTTTAGGTACATGGGTCTGCAACATCAGTGCATTCAGAGGATATCAGTGTTGACATCATTCAGTTGGGAAAATGACTCGTTTCATCCATACCAACCAGACCTTTAGAATGTTAACCAGTCCGATCGTGACGCATGTACAGCAGATGTCTTCATTTTTAATTAAAGTCCTATGCTTAAATTTTCAGCTCAAAAATATCTCCTTCACCTCACTCACGGATTTTGATCCGAACTTGGAGAGGCATCATTACTTCGATATACCCGTGAACCAAAGCCAGTCGGGTGTCTACCTACCCGCTGAGGTTTACATCAATGGTGAGCTCTTTTGAACTCTGTCAGAGCTAAATTTTAATCCCAGCTTAAAGTAACCGCTTGAATTTTCTCCAAACTCAAATGTCCAATCAGTTTTAATATGCTGCCAAGGTTCACTAAATTGACCAAAATAAAGTCAGTCGCCGAAGGCATTTTGTTTCTAAAAGATTAAACCACTTACCTGCGAGCAATATTGACAGTGCAAAGGGTTATGATTGGCCGATAAATTAAAATATCCATCCTCATATCCCCTTTAATTTCAAATCAAACTATTTTTGGTTTTTGGATTGCTGAAACTGTCTACGTACCTGCAAATCTTTTCACAGATAATAGCGCTAAGGACGAACATTAAAGATCTAAGTAAGTTTTTCCAGCCCTCTGAATATTCAAGTATTTCTCCGATAGTGTCCAAAGAAAAGCTTTGGGGTCCCGAAGAGTTTAGTTTACGTGAAGTTCCAGAATGGCATTCACAGTACTTCATCGTCCAGGTTTGCTTAGCCTAATTTCAGGACAGGATACCAGCGTTTAACCTAACGCTCCAGTGTTGTAGGCCCTCACACTTTCCTCGTCTTAGTCTATACTTCTGCCCAGGTTTCCTGCGGCGACTCTGAACCGAACTCAAATTGCAAAACCAAAGGCACATACTTTGTCTTATCAAGATAGCAGTCTGGTAAGCGGTGGTTCCATATTAAAATAAATATTTCCGATTGCTTCTGACACAGCATGAGCCGTAGTTGAGTTGATGGAGTTTTAAGCTCAATCACCAACTGCGGCCGATTTCAGACCTAATTCCTTCCCTCCCTTGACTTGGCTTTCTTGATGGTGGCAAATAAGCCATTTCAGCCTCTCCTATCTTTGTTGGTATTTCATCTTGCTCACTCGGTCATGCCTGTGTCAATAATATGTACTAAGTATATAATGCTGCATTCCAGTTAGCAAGCTAGTTTCTGAGAAGATTTGAAAGAGGAAAAAATAAAATTGAATTAAGCATATGGGAAACACTGGGGACCTAATGGTGAGTCGAATCCCTCGCAGCTGTGTCATGCAGCGAAAGGAACACTCGCCAGGCCTTTTAACTAGTAAACCTGCTGTAAGTACGATAAATAATGAAGCATTCATAAACTACTGACTGTTTGCTGGTAGTTCATAATTACTACACAAAAATTCTACCAAAGTTGATCAATTTTGGCTCACCTGTGCACCTAAATCTTCGGAGTGGGCCTATATAGATTTATTCCCAATTATTTACTCAAAGTTAGAACACGAGTGTCTGAGGAGATTACTGGTTGAAAAAGTTGTACAGATTGCTGTCTATCGCACAAGTCAGTTTTAGTTCACGGTAGGAGCGAAGTATAGTGCAACTTATTTCCCCACGAAATCATTTGTAAAGTCAGATTTGATATTTTGGTTAGCAATAAGACAGACACCTGCTTCGTGTTTTGTTTTGTAGTATCAAGAAAAATATAATTCCTTTTTTATTAGAGGAAGGTATCGTCAAAGTCCTTTACGGACCCTTACTTTTCAATAAAATTTCACTTTTTACTGACTTCTACTAAAACAGGTTGCTATTTTGTTTTTTTCATTTAACTTGAAGACTCTACAATCGCCCATCAAGTTGACTGGACATCTAATACTGATCACATCTTCAAGAAGCAAAATGATACTCTCAATTTCATTTACTTCGCCAGTGTCTACGGCTTCCTGCGAATATACCCAAGTAGGCTCTTCATTAACTCTTTTAACGAAACACCTTTCTTCCTTACCCTTCTATATTTGTCACCAATTCCTCTCTTTTTTGTCCTCCGCAGGATTTCAATGGCCGGTGGATGATAAAATACGCGCTTTGGATGCTCGTCGCAGAAGTTGGTAAATAACTTTTGCTTAAAATTAGCCACATGGAACCGGTCGTTTTAAATCAACCACAATAAACTCTTTCGATCGCAGTTGCAGATCATTATAGAAAACCTTTCACCTTCTTGACGAGACATAAATTAAAATATTGAAGAAGAGCTCAGTGCAAGCGTCTTAGAGCTCCCTGAAGGCCGAATGATATACCAAGTTTTGTTGCGAATGTAATAGTACAGGTTCCTATCCTAGCTTAAGGGCATGCGACATTTAAATACTCGCAACTCTGATATGAATTAGATAAGAGTGGAAGTTAGCATTTAGCCAGATTTCTACATGAACCAATGCTAAGTTACATTTAAATTACTTTTCTCCTATAATTGTTGTCAATGCTATTTTTAAAATAACCTGAAGTTTTGGTAGTCCTTTGTGTCCTATTTTGTTAATTGATGCTAAGGGATATGGGTAATTGGTAATTATTTTTCCCGGTATTTGTATTCCTGTTTTTACGATAGGAAAGGGCTTTCTTTTCCTTTATACTACATCGTTGATTCCATTTTCTCCTTTTCAGGTATACACAGTACACTTCGGTTCCAAAGGACGTACTATTTTTAGTAGATACGTAAGTTCCGTTGGTAACTGCTACAGAAGCAGACGCTTAAAATGCACATCAACTTGAGTGATCACGATATTTCCGCTTCAGCTTTGCCTTGAGTACCGAAGCAAACACGAATAATCCAACGACTCTTTCTTCGTGACTCTTTCTCCATAAGATTCGGCCAGTAACACAACCTTTTCATTCCTCTTATGTTTTTGTGAATTTTTGCTCTAGACAGAATAGCATTACTGTCAAAGTTCAGCGATGATACCCATGTAACTATTCAGAAAGTCCGGTTAGGCCAAGG